CCCAGCTATTCAGGAGGCTGAAGCAGGAGGATGGCTTGAGCCCAGGAGGTCGAGGCTACCTGAGCTATGATTGTGCCACTGCACTCCAGCTGGAGCCAACAGAGTGAAACCCTGTCTCAAAAACACAACGACAAAACACACACACACACACACACACACACACCCCAGAGGTGTAGTTGAGGTAAACAGTGTGGAGAGACACTGGTGCCTTGGAGAAAACACAGGAGATTCAGTCAGGAAAAGGGGCCTGAGCCCAGGCAGGGCGACTTGGTTGGGGGCGAGATTCAAATGACTGGATGGAACACAACCGGAGATAGGAAGTGTCAATGAAGCCCAGGAGTCCAGCAGAGGCCAAGTCGTGGAGAGTCCCGTATCTGGGATTACGAACTTTGAAACTTACTCTGGGTGTAAGGAGTCATGACAGGGGAAGTACCTGGTCAGATACTTTTAACCTCTCCAGCAGCCCCTGCGGAACTGCGACTCAAGGAGAAAGATAAAGGAGGGGAACTACCTAACAGGTTATGCCGCCATCTTGGAGTGAAATGATGGTGGTCAGAAATTAGGCAGGGGCAGGGAGTGGGGACAGAACCTGAAGGGGGTTGTTAAAGTGGGCGGGACCTGGGAGCCATTTGGTTGTGCAGGGTGAGAGAGGCGAGAATCTAGCAAAGAAGACTGGAATCTGGGAGTTTCCACCTTAGGTCACTGATTGGATAGTGGTACATTTACCAAAATAGGAGACCAAGTTTCTCAGGGAAGATGATGGGTTCCATTTTGAGCGTATAGAGTTTGGTGAGGCCGGGACGTGGTGGCTCACGCCTGTAATCCCAGCACTTTGGGAGGCCAAGGCTGGAGGGTAACTTGAGCCTAGGAGTCTGAGACCAGCCTGGGTAGCATAGTGAGACCCCATTTCTACAGAAAATTTAAAAATTAGCTAGGTGTAGTGGTGCATACCTGTAATCCCAGCTACATGGGAGGTTGAGGTGGGAGGTTTACTTGAGCCCAGGAGATTCAGGCTGCAGCGAGTCGAGACTGCACCACTGCAATCCAGCCTGGGCGACAGAGTGAGATCTTGTCTCAAAAAATAAATAAATAAATAAAAATAAAATAAATGGAGAGCTTGGCAAGCCTGGAGAACGTCCTGGCAGAGACGTCCAGGAAGTAGGATGACGTCTAGAGATCTCGTATACCTGGAAGTCGTTAGCATAGGGATGGCAACCAAAACCAGGGTAGGGGAAGAAGTCAGTCTAGAAACTCACAGAACAAAAAGAGTTTCAAGGAGGTGGGCGTGGGCAACAGTGTCTGAGGCTGCAGGAGTGGTCAGGCAAGATGAGACCTGAGGAATAGCCGCGGAATTCACAGTAGCCAGGTGGTCATTGGTGGCCTTAGCGAGAGGCATGGAAACGGAAACTCTAGATGGAAAAGGGAGTGGGAGGCGAGAGTTGAAACGGGGAGCTGTAGACAATGTGTGCAAGAGATTTGCATAGAAAAGGAATTGTGGCGGGGAGCAGTGGCTCACGCTTGTAACCCCAGCACTTTGGGAGGCCGAGGCGTGGCCACGGTCGGGGATAGCTTGAGCCCAGGAGTTTAAGATAAGCCTGGCCAACATAGTGAAACCCCAGTTCTACTAAAAATACAAAAATTAACCAGGCGTGGTGGTGGGCACTGTAGTCCCAGCACTTTGGGAGGCTCACTTGAGGTCAGGAGTTCGAGACCAGCCTGGCCAACATGGTGAAACGCTGTCTCTACCAAAAAGATTAAAAATTAGCCAGATGTAGTGGCACATCCCTATAATCCCAGCTACTTGGGAGGCTGAGGCAGGAAAATCACTTGAACCCAGGAGGAAGAGGTTGCAGTGAGCTGAGATTGCACCACTGCACTCTAACCTGGGAAACAGAGAGAGACTCTGTCTAAAAAAAAGAAAAAAGAAAAAAGGACGGGCACAATGGCTCATGCCTGTGATCCCATCACTTGGGAGGCCGAGGCGGGTGGATCACAAGGTCGAGATCGAGACCAACCTGGCCAACATGGTGAAACCCCATCTTTACTAAAAATACACAAAAATTAGCCGGGTGTGGTGGTGGACGCCTGTAGTCACAGCTACTCAGGAGGCTGAGGCAGGAGAATCACTTGAACCCAGGAGGTGGAGGTTGCAGTGAGCCGAGATTGTGTCACTGCACTCCAGGCTGGCGATAAAGTGAGACTCCCTCTCAAAAAAAAAAAAAAAAGTAGGGGGGAATTGCCGGGGGCAGTGGTTCATGCTTGTAATCCCCGCACTTTGGGAGGCCGAGGCAGGAGGATCACCAGATGTCAGGAGTTCAAGACCAGGCTGTTCAACATGATGAACCAGTTGCAGTGAGCTGAGAGCTCACCACTGCACTCCAGCCTGGGCAGCAGAGTGAAACTCTGTCTCAAAAAAAAAAAAAAAAAAGAAAGGGACTTGTAGGTCAAACCAGCAACTTGAAGGGAAACAAAGGTTGTACATGTATTTGGGCACTGGGGAGACTTGAATTTGTTTTTTTTTTTTTTTTTAGACAGAGTCTCACT